TCAAGGTCAATCTCTTTCTCTTCTTATATGCTGCCCCACCTCCCCCCCGTGGCTCAATCCCTCGGCGGCACATTCTGGCCCGGCAACTTGGAATGGAATCTCACTCTCATGCCTCCATGTCTGTCTGTGTCCAGAAAGCCTCTTTTCATCCCCGCCCCCCTTGCCTTTGGGACTGGAATGTACCACTCTCCAGACTTGCCCTCTGAACTCCCCAGCTGAGAGCCCCTTTCTCATCATCCCAGACCACTGTCTCCATTCCTTGACATGGCCCTCGTCACCCCATAATTGTGTGTCCTGTCTCCCACTGAGACAGGAACAGGGCTCCTGAGATTAGGGATTGGGTCTCATGCCTCTTTGGGTGCCCAGGTGGCGCTAACAAGCATTTTATGCAGTGAATGCAAAAATGCCTTCCCCCTGGCCGTCTTGATCACCAGGGTTCACAGAGGCTTGCCCTGTGTCCCAGCTAGCAGGGAGAAACCAGACCCAGCCCCAGGCCTCCCAGGCTAATGCTACTGCAGATACAACCACATTTTTAAAAACAACAACAACAACACAAAAACAAAGAGACATCAAGGGGATGGGAGTGGAACATGGTGGGAACATGGTGGGAGGCTGGGAGACCCAGCAGAGGCTGTTTGCAGTGACCCAAGCAGAAGGTGCCCTCATGCTAAGCTAAAGGTTAGCAAAGGGATGGAAAGCGGGCTGGAAAAGAAACCCTTCCCGCTGAGACCCCCTCTCCCGACAGGATCCTGAAATTCCTGGTGGCCAAAAGGAAATTCAAGGAGACGCTGAGACCATACGATGTGAAGGACGTCATCGAGCAGTACTCGGCAGGGCACCTGGATATGCTGGGCCGGATCAAGAGCCTGCAGGCTCGGTGGGTGCGCTCGCAGTGAGACCGTGGCCTCGGCCGCAAAGCGAGGACTGCGAGCTGAGCGGCCCCCCACCCTCCCCAGGCCCGCGCCCGAACAGAGCCACGGGCGCCCCCTAGAGGCCTCAGGGGGAGCTGGAGTTTCTGGCCTGGGCAAGGCTCTGGCTTGCTGCAAGCCACTGAGGACTCACCCCGCACCTGTCTTGAGCCAGAAGAAGGAACCAGCCTCACGTCCTCTGTGTGATCCCTACCAACCTGCACTCCCCGGGGGGATGTCTTTAGATGGCTGTTTCCTGGTCCTGAAATAATAGGAGGACTAAAATAATTAGTGATCTCCCATCTACCAAGGGGATAGGCAAATTGTCCTCAATGCTGCCCCCCCTCTTGCCTGTGGAACCCTCCCGCACCTCTTCTCTCCACCCAGCACATAAGAAGAATTCTTGCACCAAGACCGTAATCACCCACACCTTGCGCTTCTCCTGTAGCCGGCATTCTCACTGCCATTCATTCACCTGTTCTCTTAAGAAATAGTCATGGGGCTTTTGTTACTTGCCAGACAGTGGGGCTCTGGTGGAAAGCAAGAGTCCTGGCCTCATGCCGCTTTTATTCTAGTGGAAGAGAACAGATGATAAATAAATGAAACTAGACCATGTCAGATGGTGATCAAGCCTAAGGAGAAACATAAGGGTTAAGGTGTTGGGGTTTGTGATTTTAAATAGGTAAAGAAGGTCACATTTGAGGAAAAAAGTGAAAGGTGGGGCAACAGCCCTGTGACTGTTTAAGTAAAGAGTTTTCAGAGGCAACAGCAAGAGCAAAGGCTTGGGCAGGTGTCCTAGGGTGTTGTTTAAGGAGCACCAAGGAGCCCAGTGTGTCTGTTGTGGCCTAAGAGCAGTAGGCAAGGTCGGAAGATGAATGGCCCTTGGGCTGTATAAGGCCCCGTGGGCCACAGCACACACACTGGCATTCACCTAGGGGGAGCTGCAAGCCTTGGAGAGGTTGGAGCAAAGGATGGACAAGATCTGAGCGTATTTTTAAAGGAGCACCGAAGGTGTTGTGCTGAGGATGACCTATACGGAAGCGAGGGTGGAAGCAGGGCGACCAGACAGGAGACTGCGTCAGACGTGCAGGCAAGAGATGATGGGGACTTGGACGAAGGGGGCAGCAGTGGAGGGGGTGGGAGAAGTATGCAGACTCCAGATAGATTTTAAAGGTAGAGCTGGTAGGGTTTTCTGATGGGGTATAAGAGAAGAAAAGAGAGTTAAGGCTGAAGCCAAGGGTTATGGCTTGAGCAACAGGAAACAACAGGAAAAAGTTGCCATTTGTTGACACAGAGAAGCCAACAAGGGCAGCATGTTTGGCTCAGGTGAGCTGGGAGGTGTTGGGTTATGAAGCCAAACGGACATCCACGGGAGTGTTGCTGGGGCAGTTAGACTGCGCAGTGTGGACTTCAGAGGAGAGCTGTCAGCTGGAAATACAGATTTGTGTCAACAGGGTACAGAGGAATTGCAAATCTGGAACTGAAGACATCACCTTGTGAGAGTGCAGAGAGAAAAGAGGTCCTAGGAGTGAGCCTTGGGTCCTGCAGTGTTTCGTGGAGGTAAAGGAGGAGAACCAGCAAAGGAGAGGGAGAAGGAGAGGGAGAAGGAGAGGTCCGTGAGGTAGGAGGATAACTGGGAGAAGGTGGTGTTTGCGACCCCACATGAAGGATATGTGGGAAGAAGGGTGACCAGATGTGCCGAGGGCTGGAGTGCTGCTAAAAGGTCAAGTATAATGAGGCCTGAGAGTTGACCATGGAATTTAGCAACACGGAGGTCATTTGGGATCTTGACAACAGTAGTTCTGGTGAGATGGTGGGAATGAAAGCCTGACTGGTGTAGGTTTAAGAGAGAAAGGGAGGAGAGAAATTGGACAGCGGGCCGAGATAATGCTTTCAAGAATCACGCTGTAAGGGAGAGCAGAAAAATAAGGTCGGACCAGCTCCAGCCTTGTCCACCTTATAACTTACATTCCCTTTTGGGTCTCTTTTTTCCCAGTCCATCGTTTCACATCTGTCTTCCTACCACTGCAGGCTGCATCTCCCCGTTTAGTAGGCAACCTAGAGTTCTTGAGGGAGGGACGGTTGGCGTGTGTCTGAGCCATTTGACGGTTACTTTCTTCCACAGGGTGGACCAGATTGTGGGGCGGGGGCCCGGGGACCGGAAAGCCCGAGAGAAGGGAGAGAAGGGGCCCTCTGACACGGACGCGGTGGATGAAATCAGTATGATGGGACGCGTGGTCAAGGTGGAGAAGCAGGTGAGTATGGGATGGAGTTTCGTTCGTATGGCGGAGCTGGTCGTCGACCAAGAAGCTCCCGGGAGGCCGCGGGGACCAGCACAAGGGGAGGGTGGACTTCTCGGAGCCGCAGCCCAGACCACCAGCCTGGGAGGCCTGAGCAGGGTTCACGCATCCTAGGTCCCACGGGTCCCCGTCCCACAGATTGCCCCGCCTCCCAGGAAGCCCGCCCATTCCTGCTAGACGACGCCGATAAACCCACCCTCTCCTGCCAAGCCCCGTCTCCAGGTGGCTGTGGTCTCAGATAAGCCCGTCTAAATTTCTAGTACTGCCATGTAACCCCGCCTCAGTTGTCTGTCTCTAGCTCCCGGACTATTCCAATCAATCACAACTAGATTTCCCTCCGGGAATGAACCCCCCAGCTTCCCACCTTCGTCCCGCCCTCCGGCCAACTCCGCCTTTTCTGTCGCCCCTCGGGTGGGAAGAACCGCGTCTCCCAGAAGTGTCCCTCCCCGGCCAAGCCCCGCCTCCTGACAGCACCCCTCCCCAAGCCCCGCCCCAGCCCCAAGCCCCGCCCCCAGCCGCGCCCCGTCCCCAGGTGCAGTCCATCGAACACAAGCTGGACCTGCTGTTGGGCTTCTACTCGCGCTGCCTGCGCTCGGGCACCTCGGCCAGCCTGGGCACCGTGCAAGTGCCGCTCTTCGACCCCGACATCACCTCCGACTACCATAGTCCTGTGGACCACGAGGACATCTCCGTCTCCGCACAGACGCTCAGCATCTCCCGCTCGGTCAGCACCAACATGGACTGAGGGGCTTCTCAGGGGCGGGGCAGCACACGGCCAGCCCCTGGGCCTGGCGGTCGGACCCGCACTCTGAGGCCTCCGGACTCCTCTCTTACTTGAACTTGCTCCCTTGCGGGGAGAGAGGCCACACGCAGTATTGAGCTGCCTGGGTGGGGGAGATATTCGCCATGGGGGTGCCAGCGACCCGCCCCATCTCAGGAGCGTGAGATGACAGGCCGCACGGAGGGCGGCAGCAGCGGCTGCCCCGCGGCTTCTGGGCCCCCCAGTGCCCTGCCCGTTCCATCAAGGCCCGACATGGCCCACCTGGCAGGGGCACTGACCCGGGAGTGGGAGTGGGGCGCTGGGGTCCTGGGCCCTGACCCAGCTTCCAGCTATGCAAGGTGAGGTCTCTGGCCCGCCCTTCGGACAGAGCAGGGAAACCCTCCCGCCAAGTCCCCGCCCCACTTGGGGGTGGGCCCAAGGTGCCTCTAGGTACCCACAAGCATAGGACCCTGCCACAAGGCAGCTGGACACCATATATGCAAACTATGTTAAATATGCAATTTGGGGGACCCCTATGGGGTCCCTCTGCCCCTCCCTCATTGGGAGATGGGCCCCCAGCAATAGCTGGTCTCAGGCTGCTTGGCCATGACCCCCATCCCTGTTCTTTGGCTTATCACCCGCTCCTCACCCAGCATGGGGTCTGTTTCTCCCTTGCCTCCCCTACCCATTGGCAGGTATCCCCTCCCAGGGGCTCCTTCTTCCTGCTGGATGTCCACTCCCCTCCTTGGCCTACCAGACACCTTACAGCACAAGTTTCTGTATTTGCCTCCAAATCTCCCACGGACAGTGCTCCCATGGTCACACAAACTTTCCCCCAACATGCAGAAAGCCTCTCACGCGCACAGACACACACAGTCTCACACACACCTGGAGATGTGCGCACACAGCCGGTCAGCCTTCCTTGGGGTTCTGCAGCTGATGCTAATGGACTGGCCCTGCAGGGTGACGTCCACTTAAGAGGAAGCCTGCCACTCGATCTGAGTAGGGCAGGGAGCTCCAAAGTGGCCCCAGGCCTCTCTAGGCCTTACCTCCGAGTTTCACCTGCTTCCCTTTCTCAAGAACCTCTACTTCTCACTGGTCCAGGAGCCCGAACTGCTGCTTCTGCTGCCCCACAAGGACCCTCCCTGGCATCCCTACAGCACAACTCAGGCCTAAGCCCCTGGGGCTTGGACAGCACTGGAAAAACCCCAGGCCCTTCCCCAGGATGGTTACCAGGCCTGCTTCCACTAGACCTACCCCTTTCCTAGTACTCTCACTCCTGGAGAGAATAATAATGCATCTAGCTGCTCTAATCTGTTGGGCCCCAGCTATGCACCTGGCACCCACAGGCCCTGTGTCCCCTCCTTCTGCACATCATTCTTCATTTCAGTTGGCAGCCCCCCATTCTGGCATAAGCCCCCCCCCCACTGCCAGGCCCCCAGCACCTCTTTGGTATCCCGACCCTTCTATCCCTCTATTGCGAAGCCAATGCAGGGAGCAGGAGGGGGATGGGTAGCAGACTGATGGTGACCCTCTGTGGGGCGCCAGGGAATGAGGAGGGGCTCAGACCCAGCAGCCTGCATCTCATGACTGGGGACCCGCATGCACCAGCGCCAGGGCTGGGGCTGGATCTTGTGCAGCCCCATGGTGCCCAGCCTCTGCCCCAATGTCTCCTCTGCATGTGACCGTCATGCCCTGGATGGAGCCTGTCCTGGCTCTCCTCACCTGCACTGCACTGTCCCCAGAAAGCCACCCTCTAACCCCTCAGAGACAGAGCTGTGGAGAGGGTCAGGAGAATGGGATTAGCCTATGACCAAAGGAGATTTGGGATGAAGCCCTCCCTCCTTTCACAATCAAGGTCCCCCCACCAACCCAGTCCTCGGATATGCAAGTACCTCACTTTGTTAACTTATTAACTTATTGGTTTCATTAAAGTTTTCAGTAGGAGGTGGTTGCTTTTGGCTGTTCAGTGGCGGCGGGGTGGGGTACGTGGTCTGGGGGTGGGGATGAAGAAATTTGGATTAGTCAGCACTCTTCGGTCCTGAACAACAAAAACCTAACCAATTATAGCTTAAGGAAAGAAAAAGAAGGAAGGAAGGAAAAGAAAAAAGAAGAGAAGAGGAGAGAAGAAGAGAAAAGAGAAGGGAGGGGAGGAGAGGAGAAGAGAAGAGAAGAGAAGAAAAGGAAAAAAAAAAAGAAAAGAAAAGAAAATGGAACTTATTAGCTCGGATAACTAAACTGTCGGGAGGGTAGAATGGTTTTCGGCACAGCTAGAGCTAGGTACATAACATGTCAGGGATCTGCCTTCTGTCTCAGCCTCCCTCTCACGCAGGCTGAACTCTCATGATGACCCCTGGTGCTTACACATTTACTTTCTCCTGGCTTAGGGCCCCAGTGAAAAGTGAGTACTGGTTTGCTAATAGTTAGTGTCAGTCAGGGTCCACTTAGGAAAACAGAAACTAGGCAAGGTTTTCAACAAAGAGAATTTACAAAAGGGGCTGGATTGCACTGCTGTAGGAGGGTGCTCAAAGAGCAAAAGGGGGCACTTTTTGGCTGCTCAGTGGGTTAAACCTCTGCCTTTGGCTTAGGTCATGATCTCAGGGTCCTGGGATCAAGCCCTGAATCTGGCTCTCTGCTCAGCAGGGAGCCTGCTGCCCCCTCTCTCTCTGCCTGCCGCTCTGCCTGCTTGTGATCTCTGCCTGTCAAATAAATAAATAAAATATTAAAAAAAAAAAAAAGAGCAAAAGGAACACTAGGATAGATGAGAGGAGATTCTTGCAGGAAACAGCTGCTCCTAGGGCTGCAGGAATAAAGGGGAGAACCTGGGGTTCGCAGAACCCACAGGAGTCCTGTCGTGTTGGGGCTCAGGAATCTGAAGAGGGATTCTGTTTGGCTGGTGCTCGTACCTCTTGCGGGGTACAGTGAAGCTTGTTTTGGAGTGCAGGAAAACAGCTGGAGGCTGGCATTGGCCGTTGGCATTAGGCTGCACTGATAAGCTTACAAGCAAAGGAAGGAGGAGTCTCCACTCCTCCTGCCTCCCAACCTTTCCCTAGTGCCCCTTATTGTCAAGGTCAGCTGACCAAGGTCATGTGGTTTGCAGAGTCCCAGCCCCAGGACCACAGAGCAGAGTATAGAGGCTGTGTTTGGAACGCTAAGACAGCAGCTTCATAACTGGCGCAGTCCACCCTTCTGGGCCCTCAGTATCCATACACATCATTCCACACACAGTTGAACCTCCATATGACAACAGTAGCTTCCACCCAATCAGATGAAACTACCCTGCATACAAATGAAGACACGAACCCTCTCCCCACAAACAGGAAAAGCACAGAGTCCCACCGTCCAACAGATGTATCCATCTCCAGGAGTTCGCCACTGAATCCATATGTGGATGATGTTAATTACTTTCATTCAGTCACACGCCCACCGACAACTAAACAGTAAACTGTCAAGTTTGCAATCACTTACAATCTTTATATAAAATAATAGGGGAGGAGGAGGAGGGAGGAGGAAACGAATTGTTTAATATACAACACACACACACACACACACGCACACACACACACACCAAGCAAGGAAGAAAATATGTGTAAGTACAGGACTCCTCCTTCTGGTAACTGATCCCAGTGCCATCGTTGATAGATAGGTATTTGTTAGTTGAGTAAGTGTATGTATACAAAAAATAAATATTTTGCTAATTGGGTAAATGTGTGTGTGTGTGTGTGTGTGTGTGTGTGTGTCTTCGTAATTCTCTTACCTATAACTGCCGTTAGCCAGGACATCAGCCAGTTGGGGTTCTTGAGATGGTAGGGTGACCCAAATAATCTATCCTGGAGGGTCTGAGTCTTTCATGATCCTTTGGGGTGCCAAAGCTTTTCGCTAACTTCTACTATTGTCTAGGAATTACTAAGAGGGGCCCCGAAGGATCCCTGGGTTCTAGATATAGTCCTCCCCATCCTTACTGTGCCGCAGCACCCCAAGACCCCTTTGGTGGAGAGGACCAGTCAGACAGCCGGTAGAGTAACTCTTTCTATGCCTACTGGTTTAGTGGCGTGAGATATCCAAAATGGCCAGTTAGAAGTTTCCACTTCCAATTTAATGAAAACTGTTTTCTTCCCTTCCTTTGCAAATGAAGACCTCCAAAGCTAGAGGAGCCCAGCAGCAAAAGGTTTGTGAGTGGGCACAGGAGGCTGAAAAATGTCCACCCAAGGATATCAGAGCCTAATCTCTGGAAACTTTAAATGTTCCCTTATAAGGAAAAAGGATCTTTGTAGATGTGATTAAGTTATAATCTTGACATAGGGAGATAATCCTGGATTATCCAGAGGCCCCTAAATCCCATTGTCAATGTCCTTTTGAGAGAGAGAGAGCCAGAGGCAAATCTCCTGCACAGAGATGAGGAGGAGGCCCTATGAAGACAGAAACAGAGACTGGAGGAGTGTGGCCCCAGCAGAGGCCCACAGCCACCAGATGCTGGACAAGCCAAGGAATGATTTTCTGCTCTGCTAGCGTTCTGGAGGGAACACCGCCCTGCAGATGCCTTGATTTAGGTCCCGTGAAGCTGATGATGAATTTCTGGCCTCCAGGACTAGGAGACAATAAATTCTGTTGTTTTAAGTCACCCAGTTTATGGTAATTTGTCATGGCAAATACAAGAAACTAATCCTGTGGGTTATTTGGTGTAGTAGTGAGAGAAGCTATTGATTGCTGGAACTGTAGATTTTGGCTGTGTTAATGAGACTAAATCACTGTACCCTCTAGGATGGGAAGGCCCCAGGGAAACCACCTGGCACCAGGCAGCCAGAAGAATCCCTACAGAAGAAACATATATTGGGTATTCAGTATTTGTCCCTGCCGGGATGGTAGATCGGACATACGGTGGTGGCATCAACCAGGTCAGCTTTGGTGGGGCGAGTCCACACTGTTGAACCTGTAAGCACTCCCCATGCTTGCCGCCATGACCACACTGTGCAGACGTGGGTTGGGCAAGCACAGGAGGAGTTGCAGAAGGAGGCCAGCTGGTGTCCGTGGGCTATGCCATCTTAGCCATCCGATTGTCAAGAGCCTCCCTGTAGTGGGACAGAAATACCTTTACGCTCTGTGGCCATTTCTGGAAGTTCACCTAAATCCTTCAACTCTGTGCTTTCTAAGTCGCTTGACCATGCAGCCAAACCATTAGCCACCGCCAAGAGAGCAGTGTGGATCCAGTACCAAATATACTGAAGGGTGAGTAGGATTAAGCCAGGCTTGGGAACCGGCTGGTGGTGAATGTTTCAGCTAGAGAATACGGCATGGGTAAGGGTCCAGAGGCACCATGTACCGCTGGTACAGTCCCACAGAAGTCCCTGTGGGGGTTCCAGAGAGCAAAGGAGAAACTGATGCAAGGAGAGTCTTTGGAATTAGACAGAGGTCAAGGTCTACAGATTTATGATTCCATAAATCATTCCAAAAAGATAGGACTTAACTGTGAGGGCATTTGGGAGCCAACGGAAGATGTTGAGCTGGGGTTAAACCAGGAAAGATTTCCATTTTAGAAAGTTTTCTTCCTCGGATAGAAGAGGGGTTTGAGAGAGCAGGCCTGGGTGCTCCCTGTTGGAGACTGCTGCGGTAATCCGAGCAGGAGATGTTGTTAAGCTAGACAAGTCCCACAGCATTTCACTAATTGAGTAAATGTCCGTGGAGCACCTGCTGTACATCAGGTCCTGGCTCAGCACAATACACGGGACGAACAGACGTAGGAGGCCCTGTTCTGGCCCCGAGGTCATCCTGCCCCTGGGGGAAACAGATGCGTATTATCCAATGCACACGCTGTTCTTTATCTTCTAAGTTTGCCTGGTTCAGCAAGGAGGGTTTGCAGGTGGCCTTGGGAGTCTCCAAACAGTCATCAAATACGGCCTTGAGAGCAGATACGATTTTACTTGGTGTGTCATTTATCTACTGCTATGCAACAACTCCCCTTACATCTTAATAGCTTCAAACAACAAACCATTTTATTTGCTCTTGATTCGGTGCATTAGCAATTTAAGCTGGACTCAGCCGAGCTGGTCTCACCTGGGATCCTGACGTTGTCGCAGCTTGACTGGGACTGGATGGTCTGAGATGACCTCGCTCGCGGGCTATCAGTGCCCTGGTTGGTCCATGGATAGGATGGCTTCCGTTCGCTCCACGTGGCTTATCAGCCTCCAGTAGATTCCACTGGGCTTCTTCACGGGACAAGAAAGCAGAAACAGAAGCAGAGGGCCTCTTAAAGGCTCCACTTCAGAAGCTGTACCAAGCAGCCTGGGACTGCTCAGCTCATCTGGGCTGCTCTGAGTCTGTTGCAATTTTTATACTCTTGCAGATCAAAAGACCCCATGCTACAGATTTCCCAATTTGGATAGCTTATTTGATGTCCTTTGAAAAGTTCCAGTCACCGAAACTTTGCTTTCCCTCTGAGAAGTTGAGGGGTCCATTAACCCCCTTCCACCCACCTCGTGTGTGCAACAGGATTGTGAAAGCTGTTCTCCTGTCGTATGAGATTTCTGGGGCTGCAGTAACCAATGTTACAGACTGGGTGACCTTTTTTTTTTTTTTTTTTGAAGCCCCAGAAGCTTTGCTACAACTTAACCTATTTGGAACTCCAGTATGAGAGATAAAAATCAGTGCATACAAACTGAGCGTGTGACCAGCATTTGGCTGCAAACAAAATAAGTCAGATCTGTCTCCCTGATGTGTTCTTTAACAACTGTAGTAGACTGTATCATTTGTCTGAAAGTCCTTCTTCCTTCATCGTTGCCATGGCTACTTTGGGCAGAGTATACTTCCCTACCTGCCTTACAGTGGGTTTCCTACAAACAGATGCTGAGACCGAGCGGTGCACAGCAGCCTACTGGGGAGTGCTCTGGGGAGATGCTTCTGTGGGAACGTCAGGAAGGCACGATGGGGCAGAGGGAGAAATTGATCTGTGA